AATACAATATCATTGTGTCAGACCGTTATGTTGTGTTATTTCGTACATTTTCTCCAAGATAATCTCGCGTGGAATAATTTGGAAAAAGCGAATACATGTTTATGCGTTTCGGTGACTAATTAAAACTGTGGCTGTTGGCGGGGCTACAGCCTACAATGAATACAAACAAGTTTTAATAACAAAATATGTTTCGTAAACTGTACATATTGTCAAGGTTGAATAGCTCTATAAAGGGCATGCCACATGAATGAAGACGACGTTTTTCGCTCATGTAAACAATGAAAAATGGCACAAACACTATTATTGGATATAGGTTACTGTCGTGCGGCTAATAATATTCCAATGATCGGTTATATTGTAATCTAATTATTACAATCGGTTGCTCTTATAACGAGGTGTATCCACAACCTAACGCGGTTATTAGCGCCCTAATTATTTGTCGATATGTTATTACTCGAATTATTACCATTGTAATTTTGTGCAGTCTACTTTGTTGAAATATTCGTAGCGACGATTGCAAAAGATTCTCACATAACAATATTGTTATGTGTAATACTACTAATACTGAAATTCCACGGTCAGTTTCTGTAACGCATTAATAAATATAATATAATGTAATATAATGTAATATAATAATATAATAAGGACGTGTGAGGAGCTCTATTATCTATTGTCTTAATAACAGACAGGTTACGTTTTTATATTGTGGTGTCTCATCATTAAAATATCATGTTAATCATATAATATATTTTTATATTTTTTTCTGACATCAAAATAATTGGCAATGAAATACGTTAGTGCCCTTGCAGTATTATAGCTGGTAAACAGCTACATTTGTTGCTGGATAGGTTGAACGATATTTAGCAAACTCGATATTAATATGATGCTTTGAAAGATCCTGCTACTAACAATAAAAAACAACCTCAGTTGGTACCTATTTCACGGATTCTCAAGCCATGCAGGCTGTTGGGCGGGATACATTTCTGTTAGGCGAAAAATGACCGGAGCTGCACATCGTCGGAGTTGGCATTTTCGGGTCGTTGGAGTCGCGGGTCGAGGTCAAGGAAACGTGTGCCCATAATATAATAATCTACGAAACGTATAGCAATAATAATCATGATAATATTATTATTATGTATATAGTATTGCAAAACGACGTGTAATTTGTTGAGGTCGTTCCCGGAACGTCCCGCGACACGTATAGTTTGACGCGGCAAAAACTCGCTTACGCATAACGGCGGCGGCCGTATGACAATTTACAATATTACATTATTATTATTATTATTATTATGTTGTCCTCGCGCACGCACTTGTACGAGAAACAAAAAAAAAAACACTCATACATACATATTATATATTATTATCATTATTATTAAAATCGCATTTTCTCTCTTCTTTATTGCGGGATTTTATGGGTTTCAGATATAGTTTAAGACTGAACGACGATACTATATGTGTTTTGGATCGCATATACCGGATAGTATAGCAGTATGAGAGTATAATATATACATATAGTGATGGGTGGTGGGTCGGGAGCAGGGAGCACTAAGTCGACGCGAATGGTTTCGCTTCGAGCGGGCACTGACGCTCACGCACGCACCAAAAGCCGCAGGGCATAATATTCCCGTTGCGAGACGCTCGCTCGTCGTTTCCGGATCGGTCGTTTACATTCACTTTGGATTAGGTAACCCGCGTAATCGGTGCGACCCACAATCTACAAATGTATGATAATATTATGTTATACACTGCACAGACCATATCATAATATATCGACGTGTAAAATATAATAATATGCAGACACGTCACAGGTGACTATAATATTATGTATGATGGAAACAGAGGCTGCACAAGCGGTTGTTCCTGTAATTTCCAAAGGGGCGAGGAGAAAAATATAAATTATATATTATATTCGACACTGCAGTGCAAATTCATTGTTAATAGACATTTTTGTTTCAAATAGTTATTAATAATATTGCCTCTACGAGTGTATACAATTGTTATTTTTAAACCTTAATAATTTATTATAATATGTCAAAGTTGCGTCGTTTTAATATTTTTCCAGACGTCACAATAATTTGAATACATGTAGTTCCTCTGCTTCCGCTTGTGGTCTGTTAATCGCATTAATAAACGAGTAGTCAAAAGTCTTAACTAAAATCGTAAGAAAAGACTGAACGATATAGTTTTATACAAATGTGCTATTCGTGATGACATTGAGCAATAATGTAATACTAATAGAGTCTGTTGTGTGTGTCAAATCTTATAATTTACCAAAAATTATGCTACAAGATTAAAGTCACTGATTATGATACTATTAAAAAATGATAAATTGCTATATTACGTATATTAACGTGTACGCCTCGCGAAAATTCCACACCTGGGATTATCCCCTCCAACCCTGTTAATTTAACACCGGCCGTAAATAATAATAGTATGCCGTCGAGGTCTGGTCACGCCTACATACTATATGCGAAAGTATTTTCCGGATTCCAGTCGACGTTACTTCTTCGCTCATTCGACTCAACATTTATTAAAATGTTTTAGTAAAGAAATCAAGTCCTTATATATGATAATAAAATATTGTATATTGGTACCTGATATGAATGCTATACATAATATTATATAATACGATAAACCATAATATAACATTTTGGGCATATAAAATATTGAAACTACTAAAACTGACTCGGCTACGACGTCCAGTCAGTCGCGTGTTCAGGGCTGAAAAATATAATATTCGCATTCCGACCGCGAATTCTCAAAATCTAAGGTCAACGCAATCATCGTTTTCAAGGTGTACAACTGCTGAAATATGTGTACCTACCTATGTGTGAGCTCCGCGGATCGGCCGCTGACGATGGGTCGACGTGTACAATAACAGACTATCGTGTGTTGAAAAGCGCCTACCATATTTGAGATAAACATATAATAATATTTAACACGTCGCATGACAATCCGAAAACCACACTTCATAATATTATAGCCGTATCATGACAAATCGTAGATTTTTTCGACGGGCCTCGTTAATTAACATTATATTATCGAGGGAGAGAGAGAGAGAAAAAACGTCCCGAACGTGATAGGTCGTGAAAATCATCGACTATAAGTATTTACATACTATATGTACACTCACGATGAATATTAAAACGACGTACGCGTAGTGTGCCTGTCACTAGGAAATAGATTCGTCAACAGATGTGCGGAAACGAGAAGACATACAAGTACAATAATATGTTCGGTTAAATGTAAAATAATGAGTTTTTTCATCAAGGTAATTGGATACAACTTTATAGACGATTCTCTAAATCGAGTGGCCGCCCAATCAACCCCTTATGGTCATCATAGATCTACGAATCCGCTTGTGTTCGCGTTTCCGATGTATATACGTTCATTTATAACAATATATGTAAATCATAAATAATACATATTATTGCGATACCATTGACGGTTGACAGCGATATCAGCAAAAATCTCTCCATGATTTTACACGTGTATAAAACCTATACCGCCTTTTAATTATTATACGCGTTGTTGTTCGTTTTGTAGGTACACATTGCATTGGAAGCGGATTCTCCTTGAATGTTAACAAGACGCGCTTAAAATATATTATATCGATTTGCACTCGTTAAGTTCATTCGGAAAACGTCGTGTGTACTAAAAAAAAAACAATAAAAAACAATAAAAAAAACAAAAATGTTTTTTTCATAATAATATGCTGCAGTCACGAATAATAATGATATAACGGTGTGTATAATAGTTATAATGCCAATTGCTGAACCCTTTGTGTATAGGTCAATATCAAACAAGTTGTAGACAATTGTACAAATATTATATTATAAACAAAATACAATACTAAATAGGTACGTGTTATCATCTATTTGTGGTATAATAATAATTAATAGCTATGCGGATCATTTGTTTTTATGTAAAACCGTCTAATAAGACGATTTGTGTATAGATCCATGTAAATTCCACTTCTCAAACCAAAACATGGGTTAGAGTATAAATATAGGGCGTAATTCCTCTAGAGTTAGAGTTAGTCTCTGTCTAGACGTAACGTTATTGACACTCACATCAAAGTTTATTTACAGTTTACAAGTCCGATTCTCTGACAGAAACTGTTAGCTCCGTCTTTAAATCGATTCAAAGTTTAACTTAAAACCGTATAATTAAGACGTATAAGGAATCAACTGAGTGTTTCAATTAATAATAGTAATATCTACAAGAGTCCGATTCAAATGAAACCACGACTGGCGGCGCCTTTAATATGGATACGTGTGCGTCCATTACGTAAGTAAGGGAGGGTTCACGTCAGAGTCAAATGTCGCAAACCACCCCTATTATTAGTGGTGTGAAATCGGCTTTATTACAAATTAAAATTCAATCGTCATTATATTGGAATATTAAAGAGTTGTCGCCATGTAAACCCATCGATGAGCCGAGTGTTGGGAGACATCATATTCGGTGCACGTTATTGTTTAGGAAAATCAAACTATCAAACGCTCACCTAATCGACGTGACAATAGACATATAACATGTACAGTAATTATTATAAGCTGACTATCACGCTGTTGACTCGCGACCGTTTTGCTATCATTATGTATTGCATGTATCAAAATTATTTTAAAATACATATAATAATAATAATATGTTTGGTAAAGCGTTGTAAATGTTTGCGTGTAGTCTATCGGAAGTATACAATATTGTCGTGGTGTCCGATCCGCGGGTGGTAAAATAAATTCAAATAATCATGACAATTTCTAAACCATGTCTCGTAGTTCGGGTGGCTATATTTGATTTAGACGTCGGACTATGATACCGCCATCCCTCTCCATATCATATAATAATAATAATATGTACCTACACCCGGCACCCGAAATGTGGATATTACGGTCCTGTATTAAGTCCTCAAACTGCCAACAGTATAATAATATTACTAATATTGTGTAAATAGTAATTGGAAATATCTAACGTCTTGTTTTGTTTTGTTTTTCCAACAGAGAAGGGAACGAAGAATCGGGCGGCGTTAAGGCAACGATGACGTCCGGCGTGGGCAGTTCTCCGGACGTGGTGGCCATGGAGCCCCGGAACGGCGGCGGTAGCGTCAGCGTGGGATTAGCGGACGGCGGCGGCGGTATCGTCAACCCCGCGTTTCAACCGCCTTCGTTGCTCAGCCAACAAAGCACAGTGTGGACTCGCCGCCAGCAGGCCGTTTGCGTCCGACACGCGTTCAAGCACTACGGTTCCTCGAGCAAGCCGAACCACGTGCTCAGCAACCTCAACATGACGGTCGCTAAAGGCACAATGTTAGTACGAACCGTATAGTATTTGTAATATTATTGTCCATCACGCAGTTTAGCAGAGAGTAGAGATACCTCTCCATCTCCCTCCCTCGTGGCCGCTGCCAACAAAACGGTAAATCTTCCGGATGTTTCCTGCAGGATAATATTTCGTAGGATTTTTTAACCGCACCGTGGACTGTAGGGTATTCAATTATTATCGCCGCCAACGGCGGCGGGTCCCGTATAACTACCATTCTATTTCTATCAGGATATATTTTCACTCTAGCTACCTGCAGTACACCACATTAAGAGATTAGGTCGGGACACTTACCGCGATTCCTCATAATACGATTATGCTAAGTGATTCGGTCTCGCCGAGACGACGTCTTAGCCGAGCTCGTTAAACTTTTCTTAGAGAGCGCCAAGAATAGGAAATCCCGTTGGAGCTACTCGTATGCAAATTGTGCAATGGAGTTAATGAATTAGCATAACTTCATTATAAATATTCGTTTTTTTTACATCGTACATTCATACGTATATCCGGCGTCACGTCACAGTTTAGGGTTTTCCCTCGTGCATTTCAACAAAATCTTCGTTCTAACCCGAAAAAACCGGCATAGTTCTATAGGCTTTCCTAGCAGACGCAGCGGTACACTCGTCAAGTGATCAGCACCGGTTTCGAGTGCGATATTCTTCGATACCACTCGAATGCGCAGCTGCTGAATATCGTTTCGAGTGGTTTCCTCGCGAGTATAAAAGCTATAATATAGATACCTATAACAGTATAGTCTCCGCCAACATGGTTCATCACTCTCCAGCCGGCATTAATCCTAAGCCGCCGAACAAATACGTGTGTATATTGTATATTTATTTTTCGCACTCTCTCGGCCGCGCGTCGACCGGGTCACGCAATTTAAACTCCAGATTTTGCCGGGATGAAACATCAAAATTTAAAAATGCGTAGGTACATAAAACATGCTGGTAAAATAAGTGCCCGTTCGGCTTTCAACGCTTAGGTTCGTGAATATCATCGTTTCGGAAGCGACTACAATAGAGAATGCTGGTGTTTGCGGAAGACAAACAGACGATAATTATAATATTACATTTAAGTCAGGTATCGTCTACGACGTCAAAGCGCATATTATATGATATTATGTTTTTACGCTAGCCAATGCGTTTATAATACTTTATAATATTCTACTTACTTGTAATATACGCGTAGACGTCATGTAGAGACACATTATCCTTGGTGCGACCTCCGGACGCCAACCGGTTTGTATGGGTTCCGCTGACGACGACCCGGCAATCTTCCGTAGGTTATCCGCATACATTATAGGCATAATGACAATAACAATCATAATAATAATAATAATAATAATAATTATTATTATTATTATTATTATAATACCGTGTATCTACCGGACCACGGAGTCTCTGATAACCAGGCGGCGGCGGCGATTATGACGGTATTCGACGTTCTCAAATCAAATTTTTGATGATTGGGCCAGGCGTAGGTCGTCGAAAACGGAATTTCACAACAATTATTATTTTCGGTGTCCCAAGGGTACACAAGAGACGCGTTACGATTACCTCACAATGCGTCTCTTAATATAATATGTTATATTATATACGGTCGTACGCGATGTAATATTTTGAGGATGGCAGTGATTACTCGTTATACTCTCAATAGTCTACATAATTTATAAGTCTAGAGCAGAGTGTGCCCCCGGTGTTGATTTATTCCATTTTTCCGATTCACCATCACGATTCTGCCAAAGTATTAGATAAACGCAAACCTATCGATTTTACACAATTCACGGAATCGGTTCGTTTCTATAGACAGAACTTTTTAAACAAACAGCTGTTTATCGTGATTATATTTCTCACAAAAATATCGAATAATTATTCTTCGTCATGAATGTTTACAACTACTAGGTGCGTTTTACTAAATTATAAAATCAAAATATTTACTACCTATAATAGGGTAAAAAAGATTTAAAAAAAAAACAACAATATCCCAGACTTTTAAAACTTTTAATTTGATTAAACCTGAAAAACTTGTACCCTTCGTCAAACTTTATCTATTATTTAATCGAATTTTAAATCTTTTTTATGTGTTTTTAGTTTTTAAAACAATTATTTTCATTGACGAAAACACGTAGTTTCTATAGAACATTTTTTTTTTTGTAAATCTTTTCGAAGAAATAGTCCTTTGGTCTTTATATAGGCATCCCATGAATTATATTTCTGAAAATTACGTTTCTGATTTTTGATTACGTTTTATGTGGTTTTGAGAATTTCGATATTTTTCTCACAAACCTTATAACTAATATTGCAGATATGGACTGCTGGGAGCTAGTGGTTGCGGAAAGACGACATTGCTCAGCTGCATTGTTGGCCGGAGGCGGCTTAACACTGGACAGATATTTGTGCTCGGAGGAAAGCCCGGAACAAAAGGAAGCGGAGTGCCCGGAAAACGCGTTGGATACATGCCTCAGGTAATTTATATTTATTAAAATGTCATTCTTTTGACGAGTATAAGGCCAAAAATGTAAGAAAACTTTAGGAACAATGATAGAAAAAAAACAGAATTATGTATAACCGTAACAGATTTATTCAGATGTTGTATTCAAAATATGTATTACATACGATTTAAAAAATAATAATTTATGCCTGGAATTTATTATACTGAGAAATTTAATATTTAGTAGTAGTTTTCGATAGAAGTTTAAAACTGATTTATTGTTATATCTAACGGTTTATAGTGGTAGGTAGTAGAGAAAATTAGGTCTGAAAAGAAACTTGGATATCTCTAATAATTGTAGGCTTGTTGAAATATATATGTTTGTACCTCGCCATACTTAAACATAATATTTGAAACCAGTTACGTTCAAACCGGAAAAACGTGATGCGCTTCAATAATTGTTTAAAAGTTGGATTAGTAGAAGAAGCACCGGGCGCGGGCAATAACTAACAAATATCGGGACACATATGATTATATTTAATCATGTTAAATGCAAAATAAGCGGTTGGGCCCCAAGTCCTACCTGCAGTCGGACGGACTCCTGAGCAATCCTGGTTGGGAAAACGAAAATCCGTTATTATTTTTGCCATAAGACGACCACCACGTGCCGGTGACTCTTAATTATGCACTATACTTAAATAATAAATAATATTTATATACAGTGTAACCCGTATTCTATATGTAGTAATATGTGAAACTTATCATCTCAGCCCGATGACCTCAGACTGAAATACGGTTTGCTGTGATAGCTACCACAGTACCAACACATTCTCTAAAGATTACAAATATACACCCGGGTATGCTCATATATCCACTCAAATTTAAACACTAAGAAAATCCGATTATTTTCAAATTTTAAACAGCAGGCTGTGACTAGAAACACGTGGTTCATTGAAATTACTTGGAAGCATTTATCCGTCAATATCTGATGATTAAAATATCAGTGGCTGTTGCTGCGCGTGGACCGGGGGAGTTAAAAATGTGAAATTTCCCCAAAACTGTGTACTCGTCAGTATACCATCAAGACAGTATAATTTCACAGTAAACCGTATTACCATCTAAGGTCATCGGGTTGAAATATTTAGTGGTATCTACTATACATATACGACGGGACGCACTATAATATTATCATCAACGACGACAATATAGTTCGCGGGCGTGCGGTTTCGGCCTGCATTCGACCTCTGGCGAGAGCGGTGACGTCTGTATGACACGTCATGTATACGATCGACTATAAAGCGGGTCCGGTCGGACTCGTAAGTGAAAACGTCGTGTGCACGGCAAACGGTCCTTGGGTTTTGGCAAAAGTCTGTCGAAACTTCGTCCGTACGAAGCCGTCGTCGATGTCGGGAGAGCAAGGTCAGCCGACGCGGATAAATCGTCGATCGGTCGGCCGAAGCTTTTCAAGGCGCAAAGACGCGTTCACGCGAGTGCGCGCTAACTGTAGTCTGCTCTTTTTGCACATTTAATTTAATTTTTTTCTTGAGGACGCCACCAAGGCTGAGCATTACTCATTTGATATAATATATTCATAGCAAATATTAAATCATATTTAGTATCTCTCGTACCTACGATGCTGCAGCCGTGTTGGACAGTAGTCCCCCCCTTCAGTATCCACCGTCCTGATTATCAATCTTCAGATAAACGTGCGAAATACGAGAGACAAAAACCCATATCGACTTTAAAATTATTACCCGAAGTTAATATTGACGTGTTGTTCACACGTATATTATTACAATAAAAAATAAAATATATATAATTTTACATCGTTTCTATTACATATTATCCGCAATGGTTGCTAAAACCGCAGGACGCATCGACCCGAGTCGTGTGCAACATTCACACATACCTATATAATAATAATATATAATATAACCCCGTTGCACGGAGTCAACATAACATGATAATAATAATAATAGTACGTCAAGAATGAAACTTACTAGCGTGAAGCCCAACCGACTGATGTCTGATTAGCATTCCGTTCATTGTAAATGGCAATTTCTTAACGTTTACTGTTTCATTTTTTTTCTTTATAAAATAAATATTAATAATAATAAGAATAAAAAAAACCAAACGGGAAAAAAGTTTCTGTACGTCGTCGTATCTTGCAGTTGTAATTTAATTAGAAGTTTTGATAAGTACGTTTTATTCCCACGCAGAGTTTAATGAAATTTTAATTTTAAAACGTTTAAAACATTATTTGAAAGAAAAAATATCCCCACGAATGATGGTATAGCAACCAGTAAGTACCTACCTACTTTTCTGGTCGGCAGCATAAGTTTCCATTTAGGTTTATGCGTTTTTAAAAGTTTTACAAAGAAATTATAAGTTTATAATAGTAATAATACTAATATTAATTTAAAAAGTATGTCACTTGAGATTTCCCTTAACTGCGTAAAACATTAGTCAGAATGTGTTCGAAAAGCTTATTGCCTATGATCATACTGCATAGTAAAACAATCAAGTCTTCTCTTCAACATTATCATTCCAACTTGATCTTAAATATAATATATCCTTATTTATTTATTTAATGGTCTTGAAATTATAACTCAGACTTTTAGCATTACATCTGTATATAGAAGTTTAATATTAATACCATAAATATTATCAAATTTTTCCGAGTTGCATGATTAGGAAGCGGTAACTACTATCTAACTATTAACGGAGGTATTCCATTTATTACATAAGATTTAATTTTAAAGCCCAAATAATTATATAATCTTATGTTTGTTTTTTTTTTTAAACAAAATACATGTTTAAAAGCAATTCATTTTTTAAATATATATCTACAGAGAAAAAAGCCTATGGAAAAAATTAAGTGCTTTTTGTAAGATGATATTATATTTTGTCATTTTATCCGGTCAACAACTACTTATTATTATTTTTGTTTATCATGAGTAGTATTTATTGAACACCTCTCTACTAGATGTTCTTTATTCGAACAAATAATTGTATAAGAGCAGCAAAAATGTATAACCCACAGTAGGTATAAAGGTGTTTATTTTTCACCATTTCAATATCTTAAGTTACAAATTTACAAATATCCCAAATATTTTACTCGTATGTATAATGTACGAATTCCTCGTATTATATATTATATTCATCGGTAATAATATAATAGTGATGTGTTAGGTACAGTGTTTGGGATAAGACGTGGTTTTATACTAAATCCCTTTACCAAAAAAATATCTTACAACCTTTTACAATTTCGTGCGAACTCGTATCGATGTGCCGAATAGGTTAGTTGCGGGGTCGGGAATAAAATATTAAAGTTCCGACCTGACATTTTATGAAAATTCTCTACTTACTGTATCAGACCATGTTTTCAATCTAAAACAATGTACCAACGTGTTGAATATTTCAATTGTTAATGGAATTTTCTTTATACTTCGAGTTTCAAAATACGCGTTAGTCTGACAATTTCATTTCGTTTAAATAGGTCGGTATGACGTATTTTTGTATTTTTTATTCAAATCGGTTTGAAAGTTTGAACTGTACATTTATATTTTATTATACCGTAATCTTAAAATCTAATCCAACGAGCCATTTTATTATGTCGGTTTATATATAACGTATTATTATGTGTATTATTGTTTATTAATATTATGCTAAGAAGAGTGTTATTACTTTAGTATTAATAAATATATAATACCATTAAAATATTACCTGACATTTGTGAATTCGTTACTGAGCACAGTTGAAGTCATGACAAGTTTTCATAATAATTTTCATTTTTCCGGTAACAACTTTTTGTTTAAAAAAAAACAAATAAATAAATACACTGTCAACTTATATTAACAATGACAAGACAACTCTTCAGAGAACATGTTTGAATCCATATTTGTTCCTCAATGTTTTGAAATTGTGGAGCACGTATTTCAAGTTATTTTTTTCTCACACGTGCATACTTATAAAAACGTCCGTGTCCGTAACACATTCACAGCATAACATAAAGGAACAATTAATATTTACCTTTTTGAATTGAAGGTTCTAATAAATTAATAGGATTTATCAGTGAGATTTGTTATTGGTTTATAATTACTCGAGATTGCATAGTACATTTTATATTATGTTATATTTAGTTATTAGTTTTTATTATTTTTTTTTTCAAACCCTAATTACACTATAATATAATGGCGATACAAAAAATTGAGCTATAGTTTCAATGACATAATTTTACATTTTGTCATGATTTTGTACTGTGCCTCATTCTTCTACCATCATATTGTTTTTAAAAAATAAGAATTAAACGTTTCAAGGGAATTCGTAAATATGTTCCAATCAATAATAATTTATTGATTTTCGTACGGATAGTTTTTAATTTGCCTAAATAATATAATATGAGTTGAACAATATTTTAACATAGAACCCACTTTGTTAAAACTCTCTTGTTCTTTTTTAAAAAAAAAAACACAATATATTCTGTTTTTTATTTTATGGTTTGTTTAATCTAAAGTATAATGTTAACGATGATGGTTGTACTTGTTACTTGGTAGGTATTATATCGAAAAATGAATTGCGAAATATTGTGAATATTACTATACCTATAATTAAGTCAGTAGGTACCTTACATTTAAGTATGCATGTATTTTTTTGCATTTTAATTACTTTTTGTTTTTGAGTATTTATATAATAGTTCTTGAAAGTAAAATTTTAATTAAATTTGGTTTATAATAGTCGGTAATTGTATGTACCATACATATTATAGTTTTGAAAATTTATCAATGACATCAAATTACTGGTATATAATATTTGACACTTGTATATTTTCAATTTGTATTCAATCGTTCTTCAGACAATTACTCGAATGACGTTAATAGTCGACGTTCGTGTCGATTGTTTAGAAATTATTCTTCGGCGCCACGTCGCATCAATAATTTGTAATGACAATTTTGATTTCTATAGGACAAAAAAAAGGTCTTACAGCAGTCTTCACTCCTCAGACATCAATACATTACTGAATATTGATTACTCACAGAATTATTACTCTTGGACTAATTCTCCAATTATTTTTTGTTTTTGCTAAATATTTACCGACTACATCATTTAATTATGTCTATATTTGACATTTTAATACTGAATATTGGTAATTATCCATAATGTTTTACTGACCTCGTAACGAAATCATAATTGGTATTGTAGATACTTGCGCTGGATTTTACGGCGATTGATAACGGAAGAAGGGAGAGGGGACAAGTGATTATAATATGGAAGACGATTTGATGAATAATTTGTGTCCTAATCGCTAAAATATTTAGAAAACAAGTTTATTGCCTTTGAAGGCTATTAAAATTAAAATAGAAAAACAATATAATATAGCCCTAATTACATGCTTGTAAAATAACAAAAAATTACCACAAAGCATTATTTTTTTATGAGATAAAACTCCTTGATTATGACTCTATATTTTTCTGAGACACTCAATATTGAACAAATCATTAAAACAGTTTTCCCACAATTAGTTTTCAAAATGTCTAATTCTTATTACTTTCTACTTATTGATCGTGATTCGTGGCTAAACACGGGTTTTAATTTAAGCGACTATAGTCGATAAAATATAATATATAGTTTTGTTCAAACCACAAACGTTATTTTCTAAATTAATTCCAACTGTCACGTAGTCGGATATATGATTATATAACACATTGTTAATTTTTTTTTATCTATTTTTAGTCTTTACACGTGTATTGACAGATTTTTAGTTTTTACCGATTCTGGCATTATGAAAGGCTAAGATACACATATTATATTTTGAACTCTCGTATTCAGAATGTGTACGTGGAAATGCGATTTCTCTGGTGCTGCAAACTATTTTTTTCCTATACTAAAATCACCGACTGTAACGGATAAAAGTGAACATTTAGACCATAATTTTTTTTTGTAAATGTTATTTCGATAAAAAAAACCACTGATGTTATAACATCAAGCAATAAATCTACATTTTACTTATATTACCCCTTTCATACTTACATCAATCGATAACAATATTGTTATAAACAATATCAATTATAAAGACGAAAACGAAATAATTCAAAAGTTATGGAAATAAAAATCATTAATTTATAAAAAAAAAACTCAAACATAAATTTAATACTATGGGAGTAGTTGTTAGGTAAGGTTTAACTTGAAATTTATTAACTCACGGAAATCGTTTTTGTATATATTTTATTATCGTACACGTTGACTATAAATGTCACGTAAGAATGAAGTATTGTGGTAAATATTAACTCAACGTCTGGAAAGTATAAGATTGTTTTATCAAAAATAGTAGTTTTGTTCCCAGGTGGGACAGTCTATTGTAATATTCATACACATTTAGAAATTAAATTACGAATGTATGAGTTGTATGAGTCATGGTAATGAGCCAATTTTATAGAGTTTCGTTGTTATTGTGTTTCATGTATACATTTTGGTTATCTAAAAAATTGTAGTATTTTATATTCTTGTGATTTATACATCAAATTAATATTTTTTTTATGTTTATAGGAAATAGCTCTATATGGAGAGTTTTCCATCAAAGAGACAATGATGTATTTCGGTTGGATATTTGGTATGGAAACGTCGGAAATCAATGACCGACTTCAATTCCTTTTGAACTTCTTAGATTTGCCCAGCCAGTCTAGATTGGTGAAAAATCTTAGGTAATTAATTTTTGAATGATCGGAGCTTGTTTAAAGACTTAAAGTTTATTGTAATACAAATTAAATTATGTTTCAGTGGTGGTCAACAAAGAAGAGTTTCATTCGCTGTGGCTCTTATGCACGATCCGGAACTATTGATTTTAGACGAACCTACGGTCGGTGTAGACCCGTTACTGCGTCAAAGGTATTACTACTGAGGGCAATATTATCTAGTTTAATGATTAATATTTCATAATTTCCTATTAATTAATTATTATATTTTAATATTTTTGGCTGGTAAATTAGTATTTGGAATCATCTGGTTCAGATCACAAAAGATGGACACAAAACAGTTATTATCACTACACATTACATCGAGGAGGCTCGGCAAGCGCACACTGTAAGTAAATGTGTCACCATAATGTGATATATTATACCATATTATATTAATATGTTAATTTTATAAAGTAAGACGTAATCAATATTTTAAAATTAAAATTTTATTGGCTTGTCTAGATCGGTTTAATGAGGAGCGGAAGGTTATTGGCCGAAGAATCTCCACGTGCATTACTGTCTATGTATCACTGTCAGTCATTAGAGGAAGTGTTTTTAAAACTGAGTAGAAAACAAGGAACGGACGGACAACCGCAGGAAACGCCAGTTAATATATCGAACAACATTTCACTCGTGAGTTATTTATTATTTACATTGTATCGAGATATTATTATAACAATAGTCATTTTCAATACGGCGTTTTAAGTAGGCAAACAATAATACATATTTCGTTTTGTTATCAGAAGGGCTAATAATAATTATTGTATTTTTGTTTTATTTTTTCAGGCTACGTTGAACTGGGGTAAGAAGGACGAACCTGTTTACGTAACTGAAGAGAGCGGCGTAGTAGGCTTGAACTTCCACCAATCGAAGGAGGTGCTTGCTCAAGAGCAGTCAAATGGCATAAACGGTAAATTGGCGGAGATGCAAATGATGGAGCCACAATACGATTCTAGTTGTTGTGAAATCACTACTCGAGGAAAAACAAAGGCATTGTTGCAAAAGAACTTTTTGAGAATGTGGAGAAACGTTGGGTAAGTTTACTTAGGGACTCCGTTAAATCAATTATTATTAATATGTTATTTATTATAATTATTTCACTTGGTGTGATGTAAAATAATGTAACGCTGCATTTTAAAATGCGTGCCTCAGCACGTCTATTGTACCTAATAACAATTATTGTTTAATACTGAATTTCAAGCAACAATGAATATTAAAATATTACGCAATTTTTATTTTATTTTGTCGCCTAAATCTTACGAACAAATTCCTGAATAAATATTACAAAAATATTATTCTATGCTTACAGAGTGATGTTGTTCATATTTGCATTGCCAGTGATGCAAGTCATACTTTTCTGTTTGGCCATTGGTAGAGATCCAACAGGCTTACATTTGGCTGTAGTCAATAAGGAAATGGACTGGGAAACAATGGAATGTCCTGTTTACGATAATTGTACACTGAACATGTTTTCGTGTAGGTACCTGAACGCTTTACCAAAAGACACCGTAGTATTAGTGAGTATCGGAATATTATTATAATAATTATTATTGCTCGTCATGCGAATAGTTGATTATAAAATTTTACTGTTTCCCAGGACTATTATGAGACCCCCGAGAAAGCTATAAACGCCGTTAAGGTGGGCGACGCCTGGGGAGCACTTTACTTCACTGAAAACTTTACCGACGCACTCGTAGCACGAATGGCGTTGGGCAGAGAATCTGACGAAGAAACATTGGACCAGAGCGAAGTGCGGGTGTGGCTTGACATGTCGAGTAAGTGTCGAATCAGATTTATTCAGCATTTTAAAAATCACCACGCTCACACGAACGCGACCGTATGTTTATATTTTATTTCGTTTTTCAGACCAACAGATCGGCTTGATGTTGAACAGAGACTTGCAATTGTCTTACAGAGACTTCGGACAAGGTTTGCTGTCGAGCTGTGACCAAAATCCCAAACTCGCGGACATTCCGATTCAGGTGAATTTCGGTTTTATGATAATATTTAAAAACTATAAATAAAATGTAACGATAATCGTAATATCCTAATATTGTTTTACCTTCTGTACGATATAGTTCAAAGAACCAATATACGGCAGTAGTGACCCCAGTTTCACGGATTTCGTAGCGCCTGGAGTTATCTTAACGTGAGTATTCTACAACATTTGCGTCTTCTAGTCTGTTAAAGTCTTTATAATAATATTGTTTTTATCGTTCATCTATAGAATCGTTTTCTTCTTGGCCGTCGCACTCACGTCTTCGGCGCTGATCATCGAGAGGACTGAGGGTCTATTGGACAGGAGTTGGGTTGCCGGTAAATATTACGATCATAAAAAGTAGTTTTCAGTTAAAATAAAACCGTTATAGTCGCAGTTTGCGGAGTTTTCACCCTTTGTTCGCAGTGTATTATCATATTGTACACTGCTGCACAGTTACATTGTGGCGTAAGCGTATGAATATTTAGCCTCCACTATCCAAACACCATCCGATAAAAAGATCAGATATGTTTTACGGCTTTTAATCTTGGCGCGAGTTTTCGCGGGGCAATAAAATTGTTGCGGGTACCAGTATTTACATAGGACATTTGAATGCGTAACGTTTTTTGCCCTTTCATTTTACATAATTTACACTCACTCACAGATCTTACGTCTTATAACGAGTGCGACTGTATAGTATCGCCTGCAGTTTTCTATCTCGAAAAATAAATGTTACGACTGAAACGGAAAAAAGGTTTTATTGTTGTCGGGAAAAATAATATGTTCGAACACCATTGATTGTATTTTTGTAACATGACTTTCGCTGTAGTGTACCCTACTACTCTTATTCGTCATCATCATATTATTTCATAAATCGATCAAAACTATTGGAGGTGCTAAAATAATATTATGCTATTAGAATCTCGGCGTAAACGATGCAAAATATGAGCGGTTCAACATTAATTTTCACACACAGAAATTAATTTTTTTTCCCAAATGTTTCCCGCAGGTGTGACGCCGTTAGAAATATTGTTCTCCCACGTCATCACGCAGTTCGTAGTCATGTGTGGACAGACGGCACTTGTACTCATATTCATGATTCTTGTATTCGGCGTGGAATGCAAAGGAGACATTACTCTTGTGATCACCCTCACGATATTGCAGGGTCTGTGCGGCATGTGCTTCGGTAAGTGAAACATAAAACAAAACAGTTTTCTAGAACCATGTGTAACATTTCTTTTTACAGGTTTCGTCATATCAGCCATATGTGAACTAGAAAGAAACGCTATCCAGTTGGCTTTGGGAAGCTTTTACCCGACACTTCTGCTCAGTGGTATGTGTATACGATATAGTTCGAAACCATATATTATTATTACACAATGTTAGGTTTTAATCGAAACGAATTAATATTTTGACCTCATCATACAATTAGTACTCGCGTAACACATACACCTAGAAAACAATAAAATATTATGATTATTTATTTAATATTAGTTAGCAATCTTGAATATTACCTTCAAAATATCGCCCATCGTTAACAATAAATATCAATGTCACCGTAACCTTCGACTTACACGCTGTTGTAAATGTTAACTAATCAAATGTTAATTAGATAGGTACTAGAATTAATACCGATCTCTCGACGTGTGGTACTAAAATATATACTATTTATGATATTTATCGTTTTAAGCTTTCAACAAACGTATTTTGAGGTCGAACGTTTTACTCAAACATAAAACATATTTTAATATAAATTGGTGCTTTACTATATTATAGAGTTGTAAGCTGCAATGAAATAATGTGTATGCTTAAAGAACTCAGGTGGCTAAAATGTACACAATATACAAACGAACACTGAATGGTAAAAAAATTAATAAATGTTAATGCAAACTTTTGAAACTCAGTAATTTCACCACCATCCGAGTGTAAAGTAAATTTCACACTGCAATGTTTGTACATTTCACCTTTCTATTTTCTTTTTATCAATATAATATACTAAGAAAATTAATTTAACACCAAAGTGCTTAATATGTAACTTTTTTTATCATATTATGTTTTTACAAATCGTTTATTGAAGAAAAATATCGTACACATTTAAGACTTAAGTTTATATGTGTCAATAGTTTTATTTGATATTTCTCATAGTTGTAGTGAACCGTAGTAGAGTTTTTTTTCAATACAGGTAGGTACTACACCACTCGAAAAAAAATACTTTGAAATCAGGGTCAACAAGTCTAGTTCTCTATATTCTATACGACAATAATATGCATTTTCTAAAGTGGTTTACCATACGATATGAATATTATATTTTCCGATAAGCTATTTTCATTTTAATCTAGATTTATATTCGGTACAGCTTCTAAAAGTGTTATATTATTACGATATGGAGATTATTCAAAAAAGAAATAGGTGGAATATAAAAAAACGATCGTGATAATTATTGGTTTTATATTTAGTAAACATTTGTGTAACTGAAAAATATTATTTTACATACTATATAAATATAATTTTATTTAGCGATTTTGTGTACACAATTTTGCATACACTCAGTGCGACAAGTAGTTACGTATTTAATATCACGCAATTAATGTTATTTCGCCATAAGGTACATACATAATATTGTGTTTAACACAGTTTCAGCTCATAAGAATTAAAATATGTGAACACCAAATCGTAGTATGCGATAAAAAATATTTATTACTTATTTAATAATATTTTATTATATTATATGTCGTTCAGTCGAGTACCAAAAGCCAACTAAAAAAAAAAAAAAACAAAATTAAGAGACAAAATCAACCGAAAATAATAAATAAAAATTTATCAATAACAATAATAATAAAAAAAATAATAATAGAGACACTCGCTTAGACACCGCACTCTCTACACCCCCCTCCCGTGGATAGAAGGTACGAAGCGATCGTGCTCACACAGAATACCATACAGCAGCTAGTCGACATTGCGTAACGAGGGTTGAAAATAAACAAAGATATTTTCAGCACTGTCCTTACATAACTACCATCGTTAGGAGTCCCGAGGACTCGCTATCTATAGTGTCGTCGACGTGTAGTCATGTCAGCTGAATTTGAAGTGTATTATATCCGAGTTGTCGTGGAGCAAACACTCGAAGCCCGTCCGGGCCGAATGATAATTATTGACGATTCAATGAGTTCTGTCCGATTAAAACAACACAGCCCTGCACACTATTATATCGCCCTAATTTGCAACAATGATAATAATATACATCAGCACGCCGGACACGGTATTTATCCGGACTAGACAGTGTTGTATACGAACGCACAACAGTAAATTAGGTAGGTTCATTTCGAGGTATGCAAATTATTACTTAAATTGCACCCGACGACATACTAATATAATATTTTGATTGGAAACAATTTTATCTTTTTTCGTTTCCGTTCCACTCTTATCTTTCGTTTGTAGGCATTATTATAGTCAGTGGTCACCCAGCATCGATTCAGCAGCAGTAAAAAAAAATATCATAATTTTATCGTATTAATATTATCATAATTAATATCGAACTATAACACTGTAAACATTATTGATTACGTCTATTCGCGTACGCATTAGGATCATAATATTATTATGCATATTACTCGGAGCGTACCGCAGTTCTTGGTAGATACACTCGATTCTTGCGCTAGTCGTTTTATTTATCGCTCCAGTTCAATAAGTCTTACGACATTCTTAGTTATATTTTTTTATTTATTTTTTTTTTATTGCAAACTAAGTTATAGGGTTCCCCTTTTACCGATTGATAAATACAATTTTATAACACGTTACTCGCTTAAAGAAAAAAAAAAAACAACATTAAAATGCGATTTTTTTATGAAAGATTATAATAATAGAACATAAATATTGCGTGTACTCAGAGTACACTGAAATTAATTTTAAAATATCAATATCAAGATAATAATATGTCAATAGTGTTATAACGAATTTTAAGTTTTTTGCCGCAAAGCAGAAGGCTTATTTAAACTTTGTTTACATTTTTTGTTCTTCTACAAAAATCTTAGTTAACATAATGTGTTTACACGTTAAATAATAATTATATTATTTCGGCATAGACTCATTGTTTTTATTAGAACGATGGAACATACAATGGAACCTCACATAAGTTGTACCAATTCATTATTGATAGTACGTAGTTACAAGCACACACGTTTTACCTCAATATTTACTTTTAGACCAGTTGAATGTGAGTTATATTAGTATGACGTAAATAAGTGACGCAATCGTAAGGATTTGTCAACGAGTTCTTTTCATTGCAACCAATATTTTTATAATGACGATAAAGGTATTCAGCATAATGTATTTGTATAATGTAGTCGTGTATAAAATTATCATGGTTCCAGACATATGACGTCACAACAACGTCCTAGAGGTCGAGTCTTTACAGTATACAATACACGTCTCCGCATAAGACGTAACAAGGGTTAGAAATTGGGATGGTCAAGTGTCCCTAAAAAGTTCATTTCAAGAACCCCCCTCTAAAGGAATCCGTTAGCGAATAATTCAATCTCGTCATTTCCGCCACTCTGAACATTATATTGCAGTAATAATACGTTTATTAGTTTTGACGAGGGCCCCCACAGTCATTACTCACTGTGTACTGTGTAACTGCAGCGTAACTTTGCTAAATCCTAATTGCGACCCAATTAATACGACATACACGCTCGTTTAATGATTTTCTCGCGAACAACAATGTTTATATTATGTGGTACAACGAGTACAACGAGACATATTGGCGTGACGTTCGATAATAATAATAATAATAATAATAATAATATCGTCGCCACGCACCTACCTGCTGCTCGCCGCGGCCGCGCCTCAATAATCTACGTGTTGTGAACCATAATTATTTTTTCCAGGAGTCATCTGGCCGGTAGAGGGCATGCCCATCCTGTTGCGGTACGTCAGCTACTGTCTGCCGCTGACCATGGCCACGACGTCACTGAGAAGCATACTGACCCGAGGCTGGAACCTGCTGGAACCCGACGTGTACTTGGGCTTCGTGTCCACCATCTCGTGGATAGTGTTGTTCCTGTCCATCAGCATGGCCGTACTCAAGTTCAAGCGCGGCTAAGCGTCGACGCCCCCAAAGTCCCCCCTCGTCCCCGTCACCAACCGTCATCCCGTCGTTCCGCCAGCACTCACGGGTCCCGTCGTCCCCGGACGTTTGAGCTAGAGTTTTCGTTAGCCCCCCCCCCTGGAGGTGGGTGCAAATGGCCTGCACCGGAAACGAATCCGTTCGGAAAAACGAGTACGCCGATTTCGCCCTCCACCAGTTCCCACAATGTATCTACCCCCCTCTCATAACGCCGCCCCCTCACGGAACCATCGTGACGTGTATATTATTCTAATAACGATTTCTTAGATTAAAACGATAATATTTGCTCAGCATTCTTTTGTGACATAAATTAATCAAATTTACCGTCCAAAATTATATTATGTACAATGTACGTGTGCGTATGTCTGTGCGTGTGCGTGTGACGTCTCTACACATGTGACGGATTAAACACCAAGAACGCGCACGCATAGGTATATACATATATGTTTTTTTTTACCCAGTGACTTTTTATTACTTAATTAGGATACAATCTAGTATTTATATATATTTTTTTTTTAGACATATATATATATTTATATGTGTGTGAATATTTTTTATGTAATCTACATCACCCACGCGCATAATTATTTCAAAATAGTTAACATTTGTGAGATCGAAGGGCTGCGGATCGTTTTCAATAGATTTCAATTCAAGTGGCATTATCGGCGTAATAATAATAATATTAATGAAATATAATATTATATTGTATAGGTATTGTAGTGTTATTTTAATAGTACTCTCTACATAATAATATTGTAAAACAAATCGACCGTTGCATCAACGTCTACAGCCCTTCGGTGTATTATATTATTTTAAAATACATTTTGTGATTGGTAAATTACCGTTGTAGTTGTTTTATTAATAAGGCGAAAATCGATCGATTCGCCGTTTCCGTACTTCTTTATCGAATCTTATTAATTATTATGTATCCACTATCCATGTACTATATTATTATTATAATTATTATTATTTTTATTATTATTATTATTATTATTATTATTAATATTAAGGTCGTGGAAAATTAACGTTATTCTGGGCCGATTTATATAATCTTGCGCCTGTCAAAAAAATAAAAAATAAAAATAGTAATGAAAAAATTAAATTAATAAAAAATAGCAAACCAAAAAACTAGATCGTTTTTCTTTGTGTGACGGGCGCTGCAGCTGAGGTCAGTATAATACAATATACTCACAACTATTTTGTTTTTTAATCGCATAACGAACAGACAACAATCAATACACGACATTTCATTGTACCGCAGAAGAGAATAAAGTAGCACTGTACGGCGGTACATTTATAAAATAACACAACCGGACGTGCTTACTGTCAAAAAACGAGGACGCCAACCAAAGTCTAGTCGTTTTTTTTTTTTTTTATCATGAATGCTGTGTATAATATACCTATAGACCGTGTGTAGGAGGATGATTTTTATCGTCGTTGCCGATATCGTTTTTTAGATTTTTATTTCGATATAGCTCCGAGGACAACGACTGCAGGTCCTGCAGCTGCGGCGCCCCGGTGCAGGAAACCGCATATTATTATGCGACGGTCGGTGTAAAATAAATAATAATAGTCACAATATCAACTTCGTCACCACACTCGATTTCGAAGGGTTTACCGAAATACACGACCGTATAGTGCTTACTACTTACTGTAGTAGCTTCAAATATCGTAGTGTACTAATAATAATAATCAATAATAATTTAAAAAAATATACAATAACAATCATTATTATTTATTAGAAGCTTAAAATAAATAACTATAATTATTGTCGTGCTAATTAAAATTCCGTCTTGTGCGTTCACTATATTACGTCAAATCGTCGACACACTTACCTAATTTTCAGTGGACGAAACCGTGGACCGACCCAATAATACGAGAGCTGTAATATTATCATGGCTGGAAGACGATCGACGGAATATCACTATAGTAATTGTTTTCCCGACCTCGACATTGTCCGCAGTATGCAGCTGCACTGTCCGTACCTCTGCCGGCTCACAGCCGAGAGACTCTGCAATATTATGACTTTCCCGAGCCCGCGTTCACGTTTATACTTAATAATAATAATAATAATATTATCGTAATATTCAAGGACGAAATTCGAGGGTTAAATTATTGTCGACGACTGTGTATTACGGGCAAGCAGTGTCCGGGGCTGCGGTCGACAGCAGTTAGACGTTATAATATCATTCGCCACCGTCATCACTAAACTTCGTATTTTTTTTTTTCGTCGGTTGTCCGCCTTCCCTGTCTAGTGTATACATTTCAACTATAATAATATAATATTTCTAGTTTCTATAGACAAATAGAAATTTTGTTGAGACTCGAAATGTACAACTTCCCGACACTCCTATACACTTCAGAACGATGTATTGCTATATGCCAAGTCATTAATTTTATTCGAAACCAAGTGCGGACGGTTCTATTACCATTATACTTACGTTTAATTACATTTTTTTTTTAGATATGATGGACGAACGTAGTTATTATTATTATTATTATTATGGCTAAGCGATATTTTTATTTTTACTATAATAGGTATTATTGATGTTTTAATTATTATTATTTTGCTCAAATACAAGATTAAAGTAAGTCTATTTAATTCGTTAAGTGAAGTAAATGTAAATGCGAATTATTATTATTATTATTATTATTATTATTATTGTCTTATAATTGTTATTGAATTTCCTTGTTTAGTACAACAATTACATAACCAAATATTATAAGTTGTTGAAAAGTTTATCCATTCAAAAACTATATGTTATAATGCACCTATGAGTTTATGTATTTTTTTATTAGTACATTTTATAGTATGATATAATATATTACCTGTAAGGCTATAAGATATTCAAAAAAATTATCTCAACAGCTAATATAACTCTGTTCACCACATAATCCTTAATATTGTCTTGTTATACCTAGATGTAAAATACAAGTACTTACCTATCATCAAAGCTCATTGTAATGTGTGCGAGTTAATAATTGAATTAACGCAGACCCATTTTATTGATCAAACAATACCGAAGACGATAAAAACAATCTACTTATTTAAGAACTGAAAGATAATTACTGAATATTAATATGGACAGTCGACTTGAGAAGAGTACAAAAAAAAAACAATAGATTCCTGCATTTCATTCCTTTGAAACATATGCGTAGGTGGGTGTTATAGATATATTTCTAAAGTATTAAGTAAGAGCAGTTGAATAATTTACTATTGGAAATTTGAAAACCAGTATGCTATAAACATTTCAATTGAACAATAAATAAATAAATTATGTAGGTTGTACAGTAAATATCATGTTTGTGACTATCAGTTCTTAGTCCTTTCCATCAATTAAAATCCATCGAGCTCCACCTGGGGAGGTGACTGAATACATTATGCTAAGTGACGTTCTCACGTTTAACTCTATTCATACAAAAGCATTTTGGTTTTTGCAGCGTAAAGCCCTATTCATTAGATAAGTTATTGCGGAAAAACTATACGAGACTGTGACGTTTACTCGAGTGCACTGCAAAAGTGGTCGTAATCAATATGGTTTATTATTTTATTTACATTTCGAGAAAAACTTGCCGACCACCGGTCTGCGCTCGTATAAGTGTACTGTAAGCAATATTCAAGATTTTACATGTCGTTAAAATATGGCGCACACGAATAATGGACGAAACAATGCGACGAAGTCGTTACACAAAAACAATTTGTTATGAGTAAATAACAGTACGCCATAATAATAGTATACAATAATATAACATTATTATATTACAGTTGACGAATAAAAACATGTTTACTGTGGAAACTCATTCGTTCGTACCTCTTATTTTGATGTGCAGCTCAGTACACAAAATTATTGTTATTATTCTTTTTTCAATTATCCCTTCATAAAAAAAAATTCCGAATAAAAAAGAATAAGAATCGCACACTCCACACCTACACAACATATTTTATTATTATAATATAATAAAATATACAAGGTGATCTATTAAAGTGAAACACTATTTCGAAAAGTTTTAACTTTTAGATTCTGAGCGGAGCGATGAATGTATTGATTTTACAACGAAGTGTGTTTTTATATTTATTTTTTTTTTTTTTTGTGTCTGCCATCACAGTTTGAGGCAGTAAAAGTGCTTCGATTTTCTTCAATAGCAGCTTTTCTGGTAGGAAAGCGAATCTAGTTGGAGCATTCAGGAGGTAAACCATTTTTCGAAAAATCGATTTTGGTTTTTAGTATATCTCTAACAAATATGACCATAGATACATGAAATTTTCACTGAATATTTGTGGAAGCATTTTCTATACTCTATACAATTTTCAAAATATTTTGATTTGTGCTGAACTATTTATAGGCAAATGAAATTTTCGATTATTATTTGTTTTTTTTTTCAACCAAAGTCGATAAAAAAATTTTCGCTTTGTCAAAAAACTTAAAAATGTAATACAAGGTTCCTCGTAAAGTGTTATTAATGGAAATTTAAAAAAAAAGTTGAGCGTAAATCCACAATAATTTTTTATGAGAATTTAAACTTAGAATTTTGACAAAATTCGTAAAAGTCATGAAAATTAATAAATTATATTTAGTTAGAAATTCTTAAAATTTTTTCTATTTATATCCAATATTTAAAAATTGAGTATAAGATTCCTCACAAATGTCCATTAAAATTGTTTTCTATAAATGTCAATCAAATGTTATTGGTTGGGGTCAAGGAGCATGAACATTTAATACAAGACTCTTCAAGAGATAATTTGTTACAATAGCAGTTGAAAAATATTAAAAACACATAGGCACTTTTTTTTTATAAGCATTTAAAGTTCAAATTTTGACAATATTTATCAAGTTGAAAACTGAAAATGATTTTGTAGTTAAAAATGTATAAAAGGCTCAATTTTCAGTTTTTCCATAAAAGAAATCTAAAAAATATATGAATACAGTTATTTTGTACAGACATTTTAAGTTCAAATTTCATCATTTTATTGTAATTCGGTTCCAAGACAGCCCGATTTTACATAGATATATTTAATATTTTTGCAGCATCACTAATAATTTATGAATAATATTAATTCAACTTGCCGGCTACCATATTAATAATAAGTAATAACAGTATAAAATATCCTATAACTGACATACCGTCTCCACTCAGAATCGTTTTTCGTACACAATGATTTGATATCATTGAATTCAAATTTAATAACATCCATTACAGCGAGTTCTTAGACATCTAATGTACAGCAAAGCGACATCCACTTACCTCCTTTTCTCAATGCAAAACAACATTGAAAGTTATACTTTTTACAATTATTTTTTTTATTGAGGTATAATTGTTGAAGGTTTTACTTTTTTGAATGATAACATTACAACTTTTCTTTTATTTTCCATAGTAAAATATTTGTCTAGAGTATTTTTTGATAATGTATAAAAATCGAATTTTTGCAGAGAAGTTAGTCAGGTACACAATATAAGCATTTAATGTTTCGATGACGGACTTTAACTAGTTATAAATTATTACTTGCTAGTTCAAAATCAGATTTTTATGTTTCGAATTACTCTAAACAATATTCTTCTTCGGAATATGAAATTAAAAATTGAATCACAATTAGAAATGTATGATTTCGTCCAGAAAAGTAAACATATTTAAAATTATTGCAATATACAATTGCAAAAAAAATTCATTTTACCATAAAATCAAGTAAAATATGTAAAATTAATATTTTTTTAAACGATTATTCGAAATAATCAGTGTAGTCACTTCAATGGATCACCTTATATGTATCATGTACGTATAACATTGATATTGTCAAGATGTCTTAAAAGTGATGTAAGTCAATTGGATAATAAAATTATTTTACACGCTACACCTACATAGGTACAGACTTTTGAGCACACCTACGTTCTTCTTCTTCTTCTTATTTTTTTTATCTCATAATAACAGTAATCATTACGACATGGAATTTGTTGAATTCGATATTTTTTTTTTATATTTTCACTCGGATTTAATGATTAGTTTACTACAAATGTGTTTCACTATATAATTGCACTTAGTCTTTGATGGCGTACGAGCGTTTCTATGTATTAGAAACATATTTTATTAATATTTATAACATTTAAATTTAAAAAAATAACCAGTAAATTTCTTCCAATTTATCTAAAAATATTAAAAGAATTTTTTTGAAACATTCGAAATAAGAAGATTTGAAAAAAGTATAGTTATTAAAATACCATCGTATTAGTGAAAAATATTATGAACACGTTATACCTAAGTAACATCTTATTAATTTCATTACGGCAACAATAATAACAACAACTACAATAAGAGTTCATTTTTTTTCAATATACCTCTGACAATTTAAAAAAATTAAAAAAAAAAGTTTTATAAACGCTGTATATTTTCCGTAGTGTTTCAGTCATCTTCTCTATGTAAACTTAAGGAAAAGAAATTCAAATAAATAACATAAGAAAAAACACGAGAAATAACTGCATGATTAAAAAGTTTATAATTTAATTTTATGGCAAAAATGAAGTGTTAAGGCATATAATAATAAATAAAATATAATAATATAATACGAAAGACTTAAAAATATTATGTTGACAATATTAAAAAAAACCTCTTGTAAGCCAACTTAGAAAATGCTGCGAGATAATAACGATTGACGAAAATTGAAATTTTTTTTTTTATTATTAATTTTGCATTAAAAAAAAAGACGAGCAATTCAGCCCGAAGTCAATTTCTTAATTTCATAACTTAACGGTTTAAGTTAAGCACTGTGTGTTTAAGTCGAGGGCGCGGAAAGGGGTTCGTTAAGTTATGTCGTTAATGATATAATAATTCGACACCCTCAGAAAACATATAGGTACGTGGTCACGGCATCACACTGTTAAATATTATTATTGGTCTGTCTGGACCAGTCGACGTGTTTCCTAGGATTTCCGGTGTTTCACTTCCGCTGGACGGGCTAGACTACCGATGCAGGCAGTGAGGGGCGAGGCAACATTGACCCACGAAACGCTACGGAGAAATGGGTATCCCTCCCCTCACGGCATCCCCCGACGACGAACACCCTCACCGCC